TGAGTGCGATAGTGTGCGGGCAATCTAACGCTAGCTGACCCCAGCTGGGAGGGACGCTAACTGACGTCGCTTGGGGCAGTAATACAGTGATCAGTGAAAAATACTGTACACTGACACTGTACTAATGGCACTGACAGGGTGGCAGGGGGCAATCAAAGGGTTAAATGTGGCAATTAAGGGTTTAAAATGTCTCAATCTAATGTGCGTGGGTGCAAATGTGCTGCTTTTACTCGCTTTTGATGTCTTTCTTCTCTCTCTGGAATAAAATGGTTCCAGGGAGTGAAGAACCAGCTAGATCCTGTGCCTGTATTTACAAATACAGGCACAGCTCTGCATCTCCTAGGAGTAGGGCCCTCCCAACCCTTTTGTATTGTATTGAACTGTATTGATCACCAGAGTCCTCAGCCAAAATCACTGGCCAAGACCTGCTGACATCTCCTGCAGTGAATGACAGCGGGCGTCAGTGGGGGTGTGAGTGCATGCGCACTCTAAATCCGGAAGAACACGGGTACGGGTACGTCGCTTTGCCTGTAGCTACTGCCCGTCCTCAGGTACATTGCGGGCGGGAAGTGTTTAACTAATAATATTTTAAACAAAAATTTGTTTTTGTTTGCTATTATTTTTACACCTTTAACATATATTTACAAATTTCACATTTAAAAAAAGCACAAAATAAAAAAAAAAAACCCCACTTTTACTTCATTTTTAAAAAACTTGGAATGCTTTGTACTAGAATCATATTTTTAGTGTCATTTAAACAGGACAAATTACAGAATAAAATGTGCAATTTTTTTGTGAAGAAACACTATTTTTAAACTAACACTGTTCAAAAAAAGAAAAAGTGCGTTTTTGTTACCTTGTTGCCTTGTTTGTCCTTAAAAAACAATATATGCATTACATTTTTATCTTAAGTAATGACAAAGTTATCACCAAATAAACAGGCCCATAGTAGAAATGTAAAAATTGCTCTAGTCCATAGGAGATGAACAGGCGGGAGAGACAAATTGGTTAAAATAACTGCGGTATTATCTAAAAAAAAACATGCGTTATTTACTGAACACAGTAAATATTTATGTTTTGCAATATTTAGCGCTTAAATTTTGTTTTATTTCTGGCTGGGTTTTTTGTAATTCTTTTTTTCACTGACTAGCACTGCACCAGAAGGCAAACAGCATTATTTTGAAGCTATGAAGACATTGTAGTGTGCTTTCATTCACAAAATAATCTCCCTCTGATGAAATGATACAATTTATTTTCATTCCTGAGGAGAGCATTTTCACACTGATACATTGTATGATTTCACTTCCTAGCCAGTGCAGAGTTCCTTAGGGTCCTTTCACATGGGCATACCGTTTGTTTCATCAGTTCAGTCACATAAAAAAAAAAAAAAAAAAACGGATCAGTTTACATCAGTTTTTCATCAGTTTACATCAGTTTTTCATCAGTTCACATCAGTTTTCATCAGTTTACATCTGTTTTTTTGCATTCTTTACCAATGCAAAAACAGATGCAAAAATGGACCGCATGACCGTTTACATCTGTTTTTCAGTTTTTTTTAATGAAAGAAATATAGGGTTTTCTTTCGTTCAAAAAAATGGACGTTAAGGGATGCGGACATTAACCCCCCTGGCAGTATTCCTGAGTGTAGCTCGGGGTTAAGTTTCAGTACCATAAGTGGTAACCCCAAGCTACACTCGGGATTACATTGCAGCGTTGCTCTGGGATCCCTCCAGCACTTACCTTGTCCCGCAACGTCCCCCCTGCAGCATCTCCGGCCATGTCTTCCGGCCAATGCCGGCATCTGTCTTCTATGTTCCATTCCCTGCGAGCTTTGGGACGTACGGGGGGCAGAATCGGCGGGAGATTAAAAATGTAAAAAATTTTACATATACATAATACACTAAAATCTGATAGTATTACATTACTGTATCAAACCATTTCACATACTAATGACCCTAGTGCTTTGTCCTGTGCAGGGGCGGGCTGACCATTTGGAAACTCAGGCACTGCCTGAGGGCCCGGGGTCAGTAGGGGGCCCCATGAGATGCCTTTGGTACCTTTTTCAAAGACTTTTTTGAGTTTGGGCAAGGACACAGGGGCCCCAGGATCCCCTATTGCCCGGGGGCCTCATGAGTTGTCAGTCCGCCCCTGGTTCTGTGCCTTGCCTGCATTTTTTACTGTTCTTTCTGCCTGGAAACTGAGAAATGTCCATGGCGTCCAAAAAGCATCCCTTTAGGTCAAATGCGGTTTTAGACCAGCTAGAGAACAGCGATAGTAAATTAGAACCACTTGCAGAATTGAGTGATGATTCGTGGGGAAATTCATCATCAGCCAATGAAAACAATTCTGCAACTGAGCTCAGTGATGTGCAAACTTGGCGCTATATTTCAAATTTCAGTGTTTGTGGTTTAATTATATTATTGAATAAAATGTATTATTATTATATTATTATTTTTTTATGATTATTTATTATATTATAATTTATGATTTTGTGTTTCAAATTTTATCATACCCGGGATGTTTACTAGACTCTTCTTCGGACAGATTTCAGTGAGTTATTCCTTAGAATTACAGGCCTATAATAAAAAAACAACATATTTCCATTGAAAACAATATACCGCTTTGAGCACAGAAATACTGACATAATCATAGTGCTAGGGAGGTTAACAGATGTAAACAGATGATCATCCGCTTACATCTGCTAGGCCATAGAAATACATGGGTGTCCGTTTTTCATCTGTAAACAGACAGCTGAAAAACGGACATATGGAATGCCTGTGTGAAAGGACTCTTAAGGCTAGGTTCACACCTAAGTGGCTGTGCGTGCCATGGATTGCGCGGGCATGACAGCCCATTAATTTGAATGGGCTTCCATGCCCTGTGACATGAAGGAAAGAAGTCCTTGCACTACTCTGGAAATCGCAGCCCCCATGGGAACCTAGGTTCCCAGTGCGGGTGTGATTTTCAGCGCGGGCGGCGTGCCATTAAGATTAATGGCACCTGTCCACGGGTCCCATGGTTCACTGTGTGGATGGTTGCAGCTCCTTGAATTTGTGTGGCTCCCACACTAGCACTAACCTAATTGTTATTTTGCACATTTCTAAAATACTGCCAGCAAACACCAGGTGATAAATAACAAATGTGTGTGTTTTTTAGAGAATTGACTTTAATGATTTATCTCATGTTTTTTTTTTTTGCAGTATTTACCTCATATGTTTAACAAATGTGCGGAATTTACCTCACATTCAATATTTTACTTTGATGAATTGACTCTTTTATTATCTCATGCAATATTTTCATGACCTTCATATCGCATGTGGTGGTATCCTTCAGTGACTTGACCCCAATATTTGTAAAATATATATTTTTGTGACAATTTTTTTTGTTTTTCATGGCTAAGGTCCCAGTCACACTTGAGTGTTTTGTAGCTTTGAAGGTCAGAACTCCAGAACCCTCAACAAACAAAATATCATGTATTTCAATGGTGGTTGTTAACACATGAGTACTCAGGCACCTGTATGGCCCCAGAAACTTCAATGTAAATGCCTGTAAATGCTTGAATCAAGCATTTCCAAGGGGTTTTTCATGCATCGTTCCATCCATGCCATCTTTTCTTCCATTTAATTCTGTGTTTCATTCTATTATTTCTGTTGGCTAAAACAAAAATTGTAGTTTGAATACACATGTAAAACTCTTGAAATACGCATTGAAAAAATGCTCAAATAAAAACACCTGAAAATGTCTGAAAATCACTCTGCTCGGGTGTGACTGCAGCCTGGGAAAATCTGCAAGAATAGGAATAAATGAAAACAAATTTCCTACGTAGCAATACTTAAAGAGTTTTTCTACTTTTTAATTTATTTTTGTAAAGAACAGCTCCAGGCAAATAAATAAACCACAATTTCAAGTCAAAAGTCATTAAATCATCATTTCTGTTCATTTAATATAATTACTCAAAGTCTGTCTGTATACCAAGTTATCATATAATAGCTAAACATTACATCAAACCCTGAAAGAAAAAGAAAATTTTAACAGGATAACTAACAACCCTTCCACTCCCCAGCTTAAATAAGAAAACTTTTAAAGTGACCGTGACACTTAAAAAAAACACCCTCTAAAATATAAGCCTTTATGCTTTCCTTTCAGGGTGGTCCAATAGGTATTTCACACTTTGGGGTTTGCAACATGCCTATTCCCCTGCCACACACTGTGGTTTCTCCCACAAGTTCATACATCACTGTAGGGCATACAAGCTGACCACAGACTGTGATAGGGGTAACAGGTATTCTTCCCACAAAGTCTATTGCCAGGTCCGGACTGGCCATAAGGCACACTGGAAATTTGCCCAGTGGTCCGGGGCTGTTGGGCCACATGTCCTAACAAGAGCTGGTTGGATAGGAGGGACGGTGGGAGTGGAATATAGGGGAACCGGTCCATCCATTTCCCTACCGCCACCTCTGAATGCCCTCTTCTCCTCCTCTCCCTTCTGGAGGCATTCAGCAGCTGATAAATGAATGGATCGGATCCTCTATATTCCACCCCACCACTCCTCTTATCCATCTTCTTTTTGCTGCCCCCAGACCCCTGTCTACTCTCCTGTTTCCCCTGTGCTCTCTCCAGGCCCATGTGTGCTCTCCCCCCTTCTACCCCATAGCACTGCCAGGTTCCACCCTCCCCTCTCCCACCAGCTGCTGAAGGGAATCTGCCAGGTTTCAAAGCAGGGAAGGAGCCAGTAAATATGTTGTTTACGGGCCCCTTCCTTGTCTGAATGGACAGTCATTGATTAGAACCAATTACTGACTTTGTCCATTCATAACTGAGGTGTTTACTATACTTCAGTTTATGAATGAACAGTAAGCTCTGTACAGAGCAATTCCTGTCCATTCATTCTGTGCGGTGAGATGTCTGGGGTCTGTATAGACCCCTGATATTTCACCAAAGTCCCCCAATGGGGCTCCTAAAACAATTGTAAAAAAAATTGTAAAAAATAAAATAAAAAAAATGACAAAATAAAATAAAATTGTAAAACAGCATAAATAAACAAAAATAAAAAACTACTGACACCAGTGGTGGAACTACCAGGGTTGCAAAGGTCGCACCTACAACCAGGCCCTGGCATTTTGCCAGTGGGCTCCAAGGGAAGAGTCTCTGGGCTAGGGGCTGCTTGGTCTAAAATAGTTATTTAATGGTAGTAGTTGGCCACCAGGTTTATGCCATTGTCTTGCAGATTTTTTTTTAAAAGGTTGCAGTTTACTACCACTTTAATATTTAAAAACAAATGATGCAATGTTTTTTGTTAGAAAACAGGACTGGTAAGTACAAAAGTGAGTTTGCTGTAAAGCAGAGAAGGTACGGCAGGTACCACCAGTGCTGTGATTTGTTATTTGTAATCTAAGTGCAGACATGTGACGGACCAGTGGCATAGAGTCTTCTGAACTGCCAGCTCTGATATGTCTTGTCATCCTTCTATAACTGCTATATAACACATCAGAGTGAGGTGATCACAAAAGCATGTGAATTTATTTTACAAATTGTTTGGCAGGAAAACAGTTCCTGTATACTGTACACTTTTCCACTGTGCTGGAAATACTTTTGACTTTTTTCTGCCTCAAATAGACACATATAGCAAAAACAGTTATTTTAACTGTAATGGGAGAGCAGAGCTTCTTGCTGTGCCGGGCGAAGCCTAGCTGCAGGGTTTGAAGAACTTAACATGAAGCAGAAAGAAGTTTTGCTGAAGAAAGAAAATTCCCTCCAGTCAACAATATAAATTGCAGGTGCGTTTAAGACATCTATAGTATCTGACTCTGTGTTATACATTTTGGCATGCTATATTGCAGTGCCCTAGTGATAATATTGATGGAAGGGCCTGTATTTATTAAAATAACATTGTTGCTGTAAAGTAAGAATGTTTTCAAAAACATATATTTTTATTGTTTATTTTTAGCAATTTACAAAATGCAAAGTGAGAAAACCGAAGGAAAATCTAAGTCAATTCAATATTTGGTGTGTCTACAGTTGGCTTCAAACCAGTATCAGTTCTTCTAGGTAAACACAGTGCTTGCGCACTAAGCATTAATTCTTCTAGGTACATTTGCACACAGTTTTTGAAGGAGCTCGGCAGACAGGATGTTTCAAACATATTGGAGAACCAACCACGGGTCTTCTTTGGATGTAGGCTGCTTCAAATCTATCTGTTGCTTAATGTAATCCCAGACAGACTCAATGATGATGAGATCAGGGCTCTGTGGGGGCGAAACTATCACTTCTAGGACTCCTTGTTCTTCTTTACACTGAAGATAGTTCTTAATGACATTGCCTGTATGTTTTATGTCATTGTCCTACTACAAAATATATTTGGGGCCAGTCACATGTCTCCCTGCTAGTAGTATGGATTGAAGGATAAGTATCTGTTTGTATTTCTCACCATTGAGCACAATTGATAAGGCAACATTGAGGACCACAGACGTAATGGTCAGCAGCGAAGGGAAAAACCTAATGCTTACTTCCCCTCAACATCGGAAGATGTCCAGCAGTGCCATCAGCACTGAACAGGCAGAAATCAGTAGGACCCAAGTACACCCATCTACTGTCCAGAGATGTTTGACCAGAAGTGGTCTTCATGGAATTGCGGCCAAAAGCTATACAAAAGCATGGAAACAAGGCTAAGCGACTCAACTATGCACAAAATATAGTAACTGGGATGCAGAAATATGGCAGCAGATGCTCTGGACTGATAAATCAAAATTTTAAATATTTGGCCGTAGCAGGGGGCAGTTTGTTCGCGAAGGGCTGCAGAACGGTTCAATAATGAGTGTCTGCAAGCAACAGTGAAGTGAAGCATGGTGGAGGCTCCTTGCAAGTGTCGGGCTGCACTTCTGAAAATGGAGTTGGAGATTTGGTCAGGATTAATGATGTCCTCAATGCCATACCATCAGGGAGGCATGTGATTGGCCCCAAGTTTATTCTGCAGCGGGACAACGACCCCAAACATACAGCCAATGTCATTAGAAATGATCTTCAGAGTAAAGAAGAAAAAAGGAGTCCTGAAAGTGATGGTTTGGCCCCCACAGAGCCTTGATCTCAACATCATTGAGTCTGTCTGGGATTACATGAAGAAACAGAAGGATTTGAGGCAGCCTACATCCACAGAAGATCTTTGGTTAGTTCTCCAAGATGTTTGGAACAACCTACCTGTTGAGTTCCTTAAAAAAATGTTTGCAAGTGTACCTAGAAGAATTGATGCTGTTTTAAAGGCAAAAGGCGGTCACACTCATTTCGATCTCTGTTTTGTTCATTTAGTTTCCATTTTCTTAATTAATAAAAATAAACTATTATCATGTCTATTTCTGAAAGTATTCTATATTTACAGCATTTTTTTCACACCTGCCTTGCAGGGAACTGTATATACAGTATATACAGGGGTTGGACAAAAAATGGAAATACTACATGATTTGCAGGTGTGAAAGCAACAACATGTTTTGCATTGAAAGTGGAAGCGATGTAACACTCTTTTGCTACCGCTGTGTGATGAGACACCTAACTAACAGGTGGGACGCCTACATTTTGTTATTCACTGCATGTGCTGCTGGTGATACAGAGTCATGTCAGAGCTTACTGAGCTTCAAAGAGGACAGATTGTTGGTGCCCGCTTAGCTGTTGCCAATTTATTTGCCGTGTCGTGAGGTGCAGTATCAAAGGTTATGACGACATATAACGTTTCTGGGAAAATGCCGTCTGATAAGCATAAGTGGTCGACATGGTCAAATGACTGAAAAAGACATTGCACAGGATTGGAATAAGAAAACAACTGCTGCAAAAGTCACTGCAGACCTCAATCTCAGTCTTCACAGAGACTTCTCAGTCTTCAAAAGCCTTCTGAGTGCTGCTCCCTCCACAGCCTACCCTAATACTCACTTGAGCTCAATCCTGATCCAGCGCTGTGCACAAAAGCTTTCCCAGGTCTCTCTCTCCATTGGCTCTCACTGCTGTCAATCACAGACAGTGAGGAGTGAGCAGGGGACAGGGCTGAGGGGGGCTGTAAAGACATACAGAGGTGGCTCTGCAGCTAACATGCACAAGTGCCCCCAGAGCAAGCAACTTGCTCTGGGGGCCCTCAGCAGAGGCTAGGGGCCTGGAGCGCCAATCGGGGGTTGCTCTGTGCAAAACCATTGCACAGAGCAGGTAAGTATGAGATGTTTGTTATTTAAAAAAAAATCAAACCTTTAATATCACTTTTCAGGAAAAAAAATAGGAACTGGAGGAATAAAAATACTTCTACAGCATACCGAAAATTTATAAAAATTATAATTAATGTAGGTATTGGTATTTTTACCATAGCATATCATTTCATGTATTTGTGCAGCTTTGTAATAAAAAATACTTATTGATCATTAGGAGTTATTGTTGTGGCTATAGGACTTTCCTTAGGATTATGATGTTATTATTATCATGCAGGATTTACAGTATATAGCGTCAACTGTTTACACAGTGCTTTGGAAAGGTGACAGAGCTCTTTTAGGTACATAGTTGCAGCAGTGGTGTTGTCACTCTTCTTCGAGAGCTTTTGCATGCAGGCGAAGCTTTTTTTTGCATAGTGCATCACCACCTGAAGACTTGGCCAGAATTCCCTCTGCATTCCTTCCGCAGTTGACCCACAGTGCTTCTGGCAGAAAGGATTGCTGTTGGCCTCCTAGGTCGAGGATCCAAGTAATCTGTTTTTTCTTTTTTTTTTTCCGTAAGTAGTATTTCAGAACACCAACTTCAGCTTTATTTTTCTTTCTCCTTGGAGCAAAATGCAGTATTGGCAACATGCTTTGAAAAGTTACAAATAGCATGGGAATGATGGAACCCCACAGCTTGCCTCACAGCCCTCACAGTGCATAGAAGAGTCTGCCTTTGAAACTTATATTTTGGAAAATATTGTCACATTACCATTATAGTATGCCTTCCCTGCACTCTGCTTATTTTGTTGACTATAGCTTGTCATACACTAGTATATTTCTGAAGGAATGTTTGTACAAAAGTTCTGGTCAGTACATTTGATGACTTAACAAATGTAGTTCGCAAGTACTTCAAAATTTCATTTGCTTTTAAAGTGTTACTCAACCCACAACAGTAAAATCAGTCTGTATGTGTAGTAAAGCATGCTTGTTATACTCACTGTGAAACCTAAGGGGTTAATCCTTTGCATTGTGTAAAAAGGCTGTTTGATCCTGTCTTCTCTGCCCCTTCTCTTGTTCAAATGTCCACTCTGATAAGACAGACTGAACCGTAGCCCTTCTACACACTCATTTTGGTGTGTATTGCTAGAGAGGTTTTTTTTTCCTATGGAGGGTGCGTGTGATCTGCACAGGACCAATCAGCACTGTCCATACAGAGGGTTAGGGATTTTGTATCCTCCTAGAGCAGAATGAAAACTCCTCCTACAAGCGTTAGGAAATTTCTGCTGATGTCACAAGACTGCTCTAACTGCTAATGAGAAAAGGTATTTAGCAGTTTATATTTACTAAAATAATTGCATTTCCAAATCACATTTTACTGGGATGAAACTGATTGTTGATTTGACCCCACTATTCAGAAAATCAAATGATTGTTCTAAATATTAAAATATTCTCATGTAATTCTTGTAGTATATGGTCAGTTTAAGCCTTGAAATCTGCTTTATATGCTCTGCATTCAGGATGCTCTTTCATGCTTCATGCTTTTTGTAGCAGTTGTAGACTTTCTATCAACTTGAGAAAGTCTGTCCATTCTTCTCTGACCTCTTAGAGGACAAATGGCCGCTTACTGGCTGCTCTTTGGTTTTTACAAAATTCTCTGTAAACTACAAGGACTGTGGTATGTGGATATCCCACATGGTGACCTGTTTCTGAGATGCTACAGCCACCATATCTGGCACCAACAGTTATTCCATGGTCCAAATTTCTTAGCTAGCACATCTTCAACTGTCTAAGGTTTGGTCAAGCAAAAAACTAAAAAATAGCAATGGGGTTGATTTACTAAAGAAGTAAAGCATATTTACTTTGAAAAGTGAATTTCACTGAACTTAGTGAATTTATTTGCAACAAATCCC